AGTGCCGATTTAAAATTTGGATCCCCCCCCCCCTTTCTGTAGAACAGTGATCTATGTTCTTGACTGAAAATTTAGGAATCCGGGTTTCCCCCCCCCCCCCAAAGGGGACAAATAGTCGAGTATATTTCCTTTTGCTTAGTCACCTGCCATGGACAGTGCACAAGTAGTCTTCCAGGCTTGATGCCTTGATAGCTCTCTCTCTCTCTCTCTCGTTCGCTCGTTTACAAGACACATTTTTAGGTAACATTCCATGTTCCATGAACTTAACCACCAGGTTATACAAGGTTCACCTGTTCAGTACTTTATTGCGTTCAACTTATGACATTATTGCAAGAGGCTTTGTCTGCTGTTGATGTGAAATTGCAATTATATTTTTTTTCTCTCTCCCTATTACTGAGGCACAGCTTTCAAAAACATATGGATAAAGTTGCATGATGCACCAAGAGGGAAAAAGTTTATAATGCTGTTGTAAATTTATTTTCCTCACTTGTAGATAATTTTTTTAAAATTATATCACCTCTTACCAATCACCTCTTACATTCAAAGGGTTAATGAATCTATGCCAAGATATCCAAGCATATCTACCTGTAGATTTATAAGATTGCTATCCATAATGATGTAGTTTTATTAAATTGGGAAATGTTCGACTAAGCCACTTTGAGAAGTAAAGTGAACTGTCCATCTTGATAAGGTTCAGAGAAAATGTATTTTAAATGTCACAGTAGCTAAAAATGTAACATAAAAAAAATTGTTAATTATTGAGTGAAATTTTTGAACCACCGTTTAACTCGTTCTTGTTTCTGTGGAATATCTCAAATCACTGTAGAGTATATTCCACAAAATGGCAGAAATATCTCCGTTAAAATGTATTACAACTCGTATGATCATTTAACTAGTTCTTGAAAATAAAATATTTTACATGTTTAGAGCTAAATCTCCTTCATTAGCCAATATCTGGTGTGTACAAGATTTCAAATCGTGTCCTCATTACTTTATAATGTCATTGTGCAGTTGGCATTTTCAAACCTGACGTCTTTCAATAATATAAAATCTTCCTGTGATTAATATATTTCATTATCCTTTATAATCAGTGAAAATTAGTATTTAATCAGTTTAACAAAAATTAATGTATGCTTGTCAACAAAAATTATTATTTATAACTTTTTAAAGGATTAGTTTTTCACACATTTTACTATAAGTTTTGATGATTAAAATTCACCGAGCTAGTTTTGTATGGTGTTGTCTTGATCTAACAAGTGCATTTTCCTACTGTTGGTAACCAGTGGCAATTCATTGCAACATAGAATCACTATCATACAGCATGAAAACTCTATTTTTGTCTTGTAATTGTTGAAAATTTAAAAAATTCAGTTATTATATTTTAAATAACATATAAAGATTTTTTATGACACATTTGTTAGTTCCTTATTATTCTAGTGTGGGGTTGGTCACACGCCTGGCGGACTGCAGCTCCTATGGGTGAGCCGCTACTGTTGGTAACTATTAACCACCGTGCTGCTCAGAGCACCTTGAGGCACTCTGAGAGTTATTTCTTTTAATTAGGCTATACAGGGTATTTTAATTATTTTTTTCATGTTTTTCATTTTCATTTCAAAACAGTGTTTTAAAATGAAAATGGTTGAGTTTGGAAACATTTTGACATTAACTTTACCTGAACATTTATAAAAGTAACAAAAATATCTTATTAACAATTGCACTATGAAGTTTTTGCCGAAACCAGGTGCTCAGTGCGATGGTTAAGGTAATGGTTGCTTTCATTGCAAACCTATATATATATATATATAGCAGAAACTGTGTGTTCTCTAAACAATTGTTCTCAGAACAATTCTCTAAAGAATTGTTGCTATTGTGTTTGTGCTCTTCTTATCAAAATCTCTCTCTCATAATTTTCCACCATAACTATGTTCTTTATTAACCCTTGGACAGCGGTTATCATAATTTGTTGATTCACGGGTAATGCAGTTATTGTCATATGATTATTGAACAATTATTGTCTGTGTTTTTCATGTACGATGCAAGTATGGATATACAGTAACAGCTCTCTGTGGATGTAATGGAGTTTACCTTGATCAGTACCAAAATCCTGCTACCATTTCATGGTTATGTGTACTAGGAGGAGTCTGCTAATGTGTGCCACATTGGTGGCTTAGTTTTCTTTCAAAATATACTCTCGCCCATATGGTGCCAATTAGGCCGTATGTAATCACCCAGAGCCCAACACCATTTTATATTATGTTCATACCCTTTTCACTACTATCTGGTTGTAATGGAGTATACAAGGTAAATCAATCATGAATTCAAACTTTTTTTTTTTTCCCCCTCTTCCTCATTTTTTTTCTTCATTCTCCACTTCTACTTTTGGGATTAAGCATACTGATGACTTGGTTCCTATTTTCAGTGGTCTTTTGTGTGACTTCATCTATTCTGATGATCGAGTTAAGAAGGCACTCTTCACACTCTTCTGCCCGTAGAACTGGAGTACCTGAAGTGTTGAGTGAATGGAAGCTTTTATGTCAAACTCTGCCTTTTTTTTTTTTTACTGAAGCTGATCTCAACACTTATGGTTCTTAAGGTAACAATTGTGGGATGGGTATCCATGATGCACCCCTGGGAAGGCCCTGCTTTGTTGGGTTCCCTATTCTCTAATTGTCTCCATGGTGGGTGGGGGGGGGGGGGGGGGGGGGGACTTATTTGTGGATGAAATTTTATTCTTGTTCATTCTATGCTGACTTCTGATCCTCTTTCAACTTCTCAGACTTGCAGGGTGGGTGACCAGGCCACCTGAGTTGGACTGTAATGGAAGGATGGGCTCTGTAGCTCCAGCTATGTTGGGCCCAGATCAAACTGCTTCTAAGACTCTTCCGACCTTCTCTGCTCCCCTCATGTCTCTGTGGCAGGATTGAGCCCCGAGCCCTCAGTAGTGATCGCCTCAACACCTGAAGTGGCTCCATCTCTTGCTGTGACATGTGTCTTTTACCCTTCTCCTTATTGGGGAGGCTCGGTGCCATCACCCCTGCACTTGAACACGCATGATTCCTTCCCAATCTACTGTATTCCAGAATTTTTTTGGTCTTGCTAAGTGGACTAAATATTTTTGTCACAATGATTACACACATCCTGATTTATTCATCCATAAACACCTAGTTGATTCAGTGGATAACTTTGTCACTTTTAACCCCACCCAATGGAACACAAGTAGTTGCAGCCCCTTCTCAATAGGCAGCCAACAGCCTGGCTACGTTACCCTGCATTGGTGAGGCTCCAGTTCAGATCTCCAAAAATGCCAGGTTAAATGACAGCATTGGCACAGTCATTCTCTTGCACCATGTCACCACTAGTAATGGGGGCCTCAAAGGCTGCTACAAGGATATTATATTTATCCCCATGATCATCAGCCTCTTCACGTAGTAAAAATGACTTTATAGGTTCCTTCCATATTCTTAAGACGCTCCATTTAGGAGTACTGGGTACCTCCCATATTGGTGATAAATGAGCGTGTGGACACTGCCGCTAAGGAAGCTATCCGCACTTGTCCCATCTCCCATAAAAGGTACTCCATATTCCGACTTTTACCCAGTTATTCATTCCTCCATCCTTGCCCATTGGCAGGGTTGTTGGTCTTCAGTTACTGGTAACAAACTGCGTACTCTTAAGAGTAGTGTGTCCCTGTGGCCTTCCTCCTGCCACCGTAACCGGCGGTGTGAAACGGCTTTGGCAAGGTTGCGTGTTGGCCATACGCACTTAACTCACGGAAGCTTAAGGGAGCGCCGCCCTGCTCCTTATTGTTTTAACTGCATTGTCCCTCTTACCGTCATGCATATCCTTGTTGAATGTCCTGACTTCCAGGACGAGCGTGTGTTTTGCTTTCCAACTGTCCCCCCACGGTCACTTGTCCCTCGATCAAATTCTTGATGAATCGAATACTTTTGATATTGTTCGCCTTGTGCGTTTCCGTTTTCATATTGGCATCCTTGGTGATATTTAACGTCCTCTAATTATTCCGCACATTTGATGGTGCTACGTAGCCTTCCCGGTTTGTGCCTTCTTTTGATAATTACTTATTTAAATGAGTGCGGACACTGCCACTAAGGAGGCTATCCACACTTGTCCTATTTTCCTCAAAGGCATTCATTCCAACTTCTTCTCAGCTATTCATTCTATAGTTTGTGTACATCCCGAGCCTATTGGACTCTATCATATCTACATTTGAAACTGTGTATGGAGTCTGCCTCCACCACATCATGTCCTAATGCATTCCATTTGTTAACTACCCTGCCACTGAAACAGTTGTAATGTTTATGTGGCTCATTTGGGTAAGTTTCCACCTGTGTTCCCTTGTTCATGTATCATCCATAGTAAATAGTTTATCTTTACCCTATCAATTCCTCTGAAAATTATATAGGTAGTCATCATGTCTCTCCTAACTCTTCTGTCTTCCAGTGTCTTAAGGTTTAGTTCTAGTAGTCTTTCCTCTTAGCTCATACCTTTCAGCTCAGGTACTAGCCTGGTGGCATACCTTTGAACCTTTTCTGTGAAAGTTTGCAGGGTCATTGGTCTTTATTACTAGTAACAGTCATGCTTATCCATGTTGAATGTCCTGACTTCAAAGACTGGCACATCTTTTGCTTCCTGACACGTCCCTCGGGGTCATTTGTCCCTTGATAGAATCCTTGGTGAATCCAATGCCTTTTGATATTGCTCGCCTTAAATGCTTTTGTTCTCGTATTGGCATCCTTAGTGATATTTAGCCCCTTTTTGAATATCCTGCAACTTTGATGGTGCTACGTACTCCCTGGATTGGTGCCTTTTGATAATTACTAGTGTAGACTATGGGGATATCTGAGTAAATGAAATGGTTACAAAGGTCCATATATCTAGTCTAAAATTATGGATATTGGGGCAATTACAAAAACAATATGAAAAATAGGTATGAAACACTATTTCAATTGTAAACTGTGTTAAACACTGTGTTAGGAGATTCATTACAGATGAATCCTAGATGCTAACCAATCTAGGCCAATACTTGTTTGTCCAAGGTAGTATCAATATTATGATACATGACTTAATTTCACTAAAGGACCATCATTACAGGCAAATGAGAACTTCTTTAACAAACATATTTTATTCCTGTCCACCACACAAGTTGAAAATAGCTACACACACACCTATATTAAATATTATGTATGAAAGATAATGAGCCAGATTGACACACAGGAAATGGGTACCTGGGAGTTGTGGTTGCATCCTAGAGAAGGTTAATTGTGGGCTTAGGGGACCTGAAGAAGCCTCAAAGGCATTCTCTCTCTGACAGTGGGAAACCTATATGCTAATTAACATCTGGACCAATTGTGCTGTCTTTCTGGTTGCCCTGTCCTATGGGTTCGGATTTTATCAGATTAACTGCCAGACTCAGCTGGTTACTGCCTATCCTGGAGGCAGTGTGGTCAGGATGTGCATTGTGCTTGTGGTTTTCTTCCCTGGAAGTCTGCAGCCAAGTTAGGACCCCCTGTTTCACTAACTCCCACCCCGTAACTACTACTGCGACATTAGGTTGTCATTAGGCTTGAAGAGGAGAGTCTAAAGAAAGAACATGGGCAGGGGGGAAGGAAATATTTTGATTGCATGTTTAGCAATTTTTGGATTTTGTTTTGGCATTTGAAAATTTTTCAAAAGCATTTCTTGGAAGGAAGTCTTCTTGTGTATAATAGCTCTTGGTGTGTATGTTATAGCTAAATCTCAAATCTTTTAGAGAAATTTTCCTCATTGATTTCAAATCCCAAAATGCTCTGTTGAGGGAACAAAGCAAGATTAGCATGGTCTCACAGGTGGATCTACTAAGACTATGCCCAGAAAATGGGGTGTCATTATACACAATGTTCTGTTTTTCATTTCTGTTGTATTAATCCTGAGAAAATGCTACGTACTGTATCTGAAAGAATCCAACAATTTTTTATTTAGTTCTCCATTAAACTTCCTGCTAGAATGTTTAGTGGAACAACCCCAGGAGGACACACATGATTGTATGTGCACGCTGTTCACATGTCAAGTTTTGGAAATATTGGCATTGTAGGGCTATGGTTCTTAGAACCTAATCTTTTATTTTCTTCTCATTTAATGTCTTATTATGTGCATTCTTTTCAATGTGATGCCAGTCACCATAATGGCCATGATGCTCATGGGATGACATCATTTTTGTTGCAAAATCTGTAATGAAATTTTTTTATTAGAGAAGTAATGTTTATAGACAAAAGTGATTTTATCATGGATTTGTTAAAATGAGACAGTCATATACATAAATATATAACATATATATATATATATAGATGCTAGAATAATTATACTTATGTACAGTAAGTATACATATATACTGTATATGTATACTAATATATTTTAATAGCATTCTTTCCCGTAGGTATATATTACTGAATGTGACTTAAAGACTGAGTTTTCTAGCATGAATCATCTCTGTTTTCCTTACATTTTTCTTCACTAAAGAAGGAAGTTGAAAAATGAACTCTGCAAAGATCATTTTTGGTTTAATTTAGCCTGACACTGAGAGATGCGTTTCGTGAACTCTTAACGAAACACATCTCTCGGAGTCAGGCTAAATAAAACTGAAAATGAACTTTGGAGAGTTAATTTTTTTTAACTTTTCTCAAGTGAAGGAAAATGGAGACGATTCGTGCTACAATCATTCATCACGCTCATTCACATTCAATAATAAATGCATATGTAATACATGAAACAAAATGTAATTTTGTTAAAATGATTTATGTAAAATTTAAAATTGTTACAGAAATTGTGAAATTCCTGTAGAAATTTTGTTGGATTGCTGTAGAAATTTAGTAGAATTTCTGTACAAATTTTACAAAATTTCTACAATTACTAAAAAAATTGTTCATAATTCCTACATAAATCATAATTTTACAAAATTTTTACAGAAATCTGCAAATTATAGATGTTTTGTAGAATTTTACAATTGATACAATTTTATGTTGAATTTCTACAAAAAAATGTGCAAATTTCTACAGGAAATTCTACATAATCTATGCCGACTTACAGTAATGCTGTAAAAATACTGTAATACAGAATAAAGTAATACTACAAAATTTATACATAAATTCTGTAGAAATTTAGTCATTTCTGTAGAAATGTGCACATTTTTCTACAAAATGTTTTTCAGATTTAAAATTTATAGCATTTCTGTAGAAAGTATATAGAAATTATGTAAAAGTTCTGTAAATACTAGGAATTATGTGATTTTCTGTAGAAATTATGTAGATTTTCTGTACAAATAATGTATGATTTCTGTAGAAATTATATAGATTTTCTGTAGAAATTATAGATTTTCTGTAGAAATTATTATTTTCTACAGAAAATCTACAGAACTTTTAAAGAAAATCTACATAATTTCTACAGAAAATCATGTAGAAATTATGTACATTTTATGTAGAAATTATGATTTTCCGTAGAAATTATGTAGATTTTCTGTAGATATTTATATAATTTCTACAGAATTTCTATATGATTTCTACAAAAATTTACATAATTTCTATAGAACTTCTACAAAAATATACATAATTTCTATAGAACTTTTACAGAAAATCTATAGAATTTCTACAGAAAATCTAAATATTTCTTCATTCTACATAATTTCTACAGATTATCTAAATAATTTCTACAGAAAATCAACATAATTCCTACAGAACCTCTCTCTAGTAGTTCTGTAGAAATTATATGGAATTTCTGTAGAAATTATATAGAATTTCTGTAGAAGTTCTGTAGATTTTCAGTATAATTATATAATTTTCTGTAAAAATTTATGTAATTTCTACCGAAATTCTACATAATTTCTACATGACTTTCTGTCAAAATTACGTAGAATTTCAGTAGAAATTATATAAATTTCTACATAAAAAATATATAATTTCTACAGAAATTCTACATTTCTGTAGATATTATGTAGAAATTATGTAATTTTCTGTAGAAATTACGTATGATTTCTGAAGATTTTCTGTAGAAATTTATATAATTTCTACAGAAAATCTATATAATTTCTGTAGAAATCTACAGAATTTCTACATGGAAATTTCTATGTATCATTTCTGTAGAAATTATGTAGATATTCTGTATCTACAGATTATCTACATAATTTCTACAGAAATCCTACATAGAAATTTCCACATAAAAATTCTGTAGATTTCTATAGAAATTATATTGGAATTCTGTAGATTTTCTGTAGAAATTATGTAGATTTTCTGTAGAAATTATGCAAGATTTCTGTAGAAATTATGTAGGATTTCTGTAGAAACTATATAGATTTTCTTTAGAAATATATATAATTTCTACAAAATCTACATCATTTCTACAAATTATATTGCTTTTCTGAAGAAATTGATTTTCTGTATAAATTTGCAGATTTTGTAGAATTTGTAGAAATTCTGAAGAAATTATTTAGGAATTATATAGATTTTTTGAAGAAATTATGTAGATTTTCAGCAGAAATTATGTAGATTTTCAGCAGAAATTATGTAGATATTCTGTGTGATTTCTGTAGAAATTATGTAGATTTTCTATACGATTTCTGTAGAAATAGTCAAATTTCTGTAGAAATTATGTAGGTTTTCTGTAGAAATTTCTGTATGATTTCTGTAGAAATTATGTAGATTTTCTGTAGAAATAATATAAATTTCTACAGAAAACCTACATAATTTCTACAGAAAATTTACATAATTTCTACACATTGTATAGAAAATCTACATGATTTCTACAGAAAATTATATATATTCTGTAGAAATTATATAGATTTTCTGTAATTATGTAGAATTTCTGTAGAAATTGTGTAGAATTTCTGTAGAAATTGTGTAGAAATTTATATAATTTCTAGAGAAAAATCTACATAATTTCTACAGAAAAATCTAAATAATTTCTACAGAAATTCTAGATAATTCTAAATAAAAATTCCTACAGAAATTCTACTACAGAAATTCTACAGAAAATTATATATATAATAATGTAATGTTTAAATTATATAGATAATTATTACATAATTTCTACAGAAAATCTATATAATTTATGCATTACATTATATATATAATTTTCTGTATATGTAATGTATAAATTATATAAATTTTCTTTAGAATTTCTGTAGGAATTATTTAGAATTTGTAGGAATTATCTAGAATTTCTGTAGAAATTATTTAGATTTTTCTGTAGAAATTATGTAGATTTTCTGTAGAAATTCTACAAATTTCTACAGAAAATCTACATAATTTCTACAGAAATCGTATAGAAAATCTACATAATTTCTACAGAAATCGTACAGAAAATCTACATAATTTCTACAAAAAAAAACATAATTTCTACAGAAATCTATATAATTTATACACAACATTATATAATTTTCAGTAGGAATTATGTAGATTTTCTGTAGAAATTTATATAAATATCTACATAATTTCTACAGAAAATCTACACAATTTCTACAAAAAACCTACATAATTTCTACAGCAATCGTATAGAAAATCTACATAATTTCTCCAGAAATTCTACATAATTTCTACAGAAATTCTACACAATTCCTACAGAAATTCTACATAATTTCTACTGAAAATCTATATAATTTATACATTATATAATTTTCTGTAGAAATTACGTAGATTTTCTGTAGAAATTCTGTAGATTTTCTGTAAAATTTCTGTAGAAATTATGTAGAATTTTTGTAGAAATTATGTAGAATTTCTGTAGATTTTCTATGTGATTTCTGTAGAAATTGTGTAGAATTTCTGGAGAAATTATGTAATTTTCTATATGATTGCTGTAGAAATTATGTAGGTTTTTTGTAGAAATTATGTAGATTTCTATACGATTACTGAAATTATGTAGATTTTCTGTAGTAATTATATAGATTTTCTGTAGTATAACATTTTCTGTAGATTTTCTGTAGAAATTATGTAGATTTTATGTAGAAATTATGTAGATTTTCTATATTATTTCTACATAATTTCTACAAAAATTTGACAATTTCTACAGACATCGTATAGAAAATCTACATAATTTCTACAAAATTTCGTCAATTTCTACAGAAATCGTACAGCAAATCTACATAATTTCTACAGAAATTCTACATAACTCCTACAGAAATTCTACATAATTTCTACATTACATTATATAATTTTCTGTAGGAATTATGTAGATTTTCTGTAGGAATTATGTAGATTTTCTGTAGAAATTTATATAAATATCTACACAATTTCTACAATAATCATATAGAAAATCTACAGAATTTCTACCAAAAAACCTACATAATTTCTACAGCAATCGTATAGAAATTCTACACGATTTCTACAGAAATTCTACATAATTTCTACAGAAAATCTATATAATTTTCTACATTACATTATATGTATATAATTTTCTGTAGAAATTACGTAGATTTTCTGTAGAAATTATGTAGAATTTCTGTAGAAATTATGTAGATTTTCTATTACGATTTCTGTAAAATTATGTAGAATTTCTGTAGAAATTATATAGAATTTCTGTAGTAACTACATTTTCTGTAGAAATTATGTAGATTTTCTGTAGAAATTGTGTAGAAATTATGTAGATTTTTATATACGGTTTCTGTAGAAACTTATATAATTTCTACAGAAATTGTATAGAAAATCTACATAATTTCTAGGAGTTAAAAAACCTACATAATTTCTACAGCAATCGTATAGAAAATCTACATAATTTCTACAGAAATTCTACATAATATCTACAGAAATTCTACATAATATCTACAGAAATACTACATAATTTCTACAGAAATTCTACATAATTTCTACAGAAATTCTACATAATTTCTACAGAAATTCTACATAATTTCTAGAGAAATTCTACAATTTCTACAGAAATTCTACATAATTTCTACAGAAAATCTATATAATTTCTACAGAAAAATATATAATGTATAAATTATATAGATTTTCTGTAGAATTTCTGAGGAAATTATGTAGAATTTCTGTAGAAATTATGTAGAATTTCTGTAGGAGTTATGTAGAATTTCTGTAGGAGTTATGTAGATTTTCTGTAGGAGTTATGTAGATTTTCTGTAGGAGTTATGTAGATTTTCTGTAGGAGTTATGTAGATTTCTGTAGGAGTTATGTAGATTTCTGTAGAAGTTATGTAGATTTTCTGTAGGAGTTATGTAGATTTTCTG